CCCCCCCCCCCCCCCCCCCCGCACACCCTCTACCAGCACCGGGCAGAGAAGAAACCAGCTTTGTTTGCAGGAAGGGGGATTTCGGAGCAACTCTCTGACCAGAACGCTACTTGTGCGCTAGGAAAAACTACCTGCGGGGCTGTACCAGCCTGGGGTTTGGGGTTTTTGGGAGCAGTTGGACAGCCACTGATGGAGAGTCTAGGGTCACTTAATGCCACTTCAGTGCTGGGGGTCGGACTAGGGCAGGGGGGTGGGCAATAATGTTTGATGGGGGTGCACGCTGAGATTTTGGTAAGTGGTGAAGGGCCACACTTTTCTGTGGGAGGGGTGCAGGGTCTGGCATGGAGGTGGGGTGCAGAAAGGAGCTCGGGGTAAGGGACTGGGGTGCAGGAGAGGGTGCAGGGTCTGGAAGGGATTTTGGGGGAAGGAGGGGATTTTGATCTGGGGCAGAGGACTGGGGTGCGGCGGCTGGGTGCAGGAGAGGATTCTGGTCCGGAGAAGGGGTGCAGGGGCTGGGAGGGAGGAGGTGGAGGGGAGGTGCAGAGGGTTTGGGTGGTGACTTTCAGCAAGGAGTTGGGCTGTGGGAGGGGGGTGGGGTGCCAGAGGCAGGCTCTGGCAGGGAGGCACTTACCTGCAGGTTTCCAAAACCGGCCAATAGGAGCTGAGAAATTGTGCTAGGGGCGGGGGCAACCTAGGAAGCCTCCCCCTAACCCCAGTGCCCAGAGCAAAAGCCACTGGAAGCAGCCAGCTGATGGGGCTGCTCTGTGCCCGAGGGTCCCAACGGGGTGGCTTGTGGGCCAGACCCAGTGGCTTTCTGGCCTGAATCCAGCCCAGGGCCACATTTTGCCCACCCCTGGTCTAGCTGAACTCTTGAGGCTCTTCCAGCCTGGCAGTCGTATTATTCTATTGCATAAACGGACCCAAAAAATCTTTCCAGAACCCTCAAGCTTGTTACATCTAACAGAACTTTAATATCCGAGGGGGAGCCATGTTAGTCTGAATCTGCAAAAGCGGCGAGGAGTCCTGTGGCACCTTCTAGACTAACTCAAGTGTAGGAGCATAAGCTTTCGTGGGCAAAGACCCACTTCGTCAGATGCATGTACGAAAGCTTATGCTCCTACACTTCAGTTAGTCTATAAGGTGCCACAGGACTCCTCGCCGCTTTTGCAGAACTTTAATAATAATCCAATCAGTTGTTCCGCCATTTATTTCAGTTTCGGTAACAATTCTGCAGCTGCCTCGCCAAGGCCGGAGGTGCTGCGACATGCTGTTAGCTACCTCAGCTGCCTCACTACAAGCGTTTCAACGGGAGCTCAGCCAGCCCCTGGCAAAAACTCCTTTCCCGCCCTTCTCCGAGAAGCAAACCCTCCACCTTTTCCAATCCCAATCTCTGTTAG